TGTACATAATAATACTACGACAATAAAAAAAGAAAGAAAATACGATAATATATTTCAGCTACCAAATTTCATTTAGTGACCTCCACTTATTATAAATAAAAAATTAATACTCCGTTTGTTTATTTCTGAAAAATCTTTTAGCTGAAATTTTTTTTTCAGATTTTCAATTGTTTGGGTTTTTTTTTTTTAAAAAAAAATTAATCAATTGAAAATATTTTCTTTGTCAAAGGAAAACTTAATTATTTTAAAGGAAAATAACTTCAATTATGGTTCAGTCATTTGACAGCTGTGGTTCTGGATGTCCAAGCTTTATTGGCCAGGAGTTGGCAGTGTTCTGTTCGTAATATTTATCATGAGGATAATTTTGCAACTAATAATTTGGCGGGATTGAATCATTCACGCTCTACCTTTCAGATTTTTTTGGATTCTAATTCTGCTTCTTTGTTTTTGATTTTTGTCTTTGATTTTGTGAGTTGATGCTCTTGGTGTTAACTCTTTGAGATAGTCTTTCTTCTCTTTTTTATGTTAAAAAAAAAGGAAAATGACTTAAAAAAAAATTATGAGATCTATTCGACAAAATTAATTATTTTGATAGCTATTAATTATTTGAGTAGTTTTTCGTAAAATGCTAAAAGCTATACGTTATACGGTTAACTTTTCATAAAATGCTACTTTAATATCTAAAAACTAGTCCAAATGCTATATTACCGAACACTATAAAAAATAACATTTAGCGTTTTGAGAAAACCTATTTGAAAAGTTGTTGATAAACACAACCATAATCTTATAAACACAAATTTATTAATTCACTTTTCATTGATAGCCATCATTGGTCCTCGACCACCGCTGTCCATTAACTGCTGGCCACCACCGCCATTTCCCAAACAACTAATAACACAAGTTATCATTTTATCTATTCTCATTTTATTAATAACTAAAATTTTAGATATGGAATTTTTATTGTAAATATTTTTATAGTCTTATGTTTAAAAGTTTTAATATTTGTATTTAATTTTTAAAAGTATTTTATTTGAAAAAAATTTCAAAAATAAAATATTTGTTAGTATATGAGAAATATTTATCCAATATATAGACCCAAACAACTTGTCCAATTGCACGAGTAAAATTGGCTATATATAATTTTTATCATATTGGTGTTCAAAGAATCCCTAACTTTTCTTCTTTTGTTTATTGAGAGAGGGACCAATCAACATTGTTTTCAATATGCAATTAAAAGGTGCTGTCTTGCTTTTTCCATAATAATTCCTTGGTATGTCTGCTGAGTGATTGAACCATCTAGAGTCATGGCCTATGAGTGCGATTTACATTCTGATCAACTTTAAAAAAACATTGATAATCATAAAATAGAACAAATCTTATATTAGAAAATCAATTCTCCAAATGAATTTCAAGTTCAGTATTTATGAAATATAACAAGAATTTATAAATAAAGAAGTATAAAAAATTATCTTTTTATAACAAAACCAATGAGATTTAATTTGACAGCATTAAAATTATTTCTACAATTGTGAATTTATATATTTAAATTTTAATCAAAGGAAGTTTGCTTAAAAAAAATTCTTAATCAAAGGTAAATTAATTTTTTTTAAAAGAAATAATGAATCTTCATTACCTCGAGGAAAAATATTCCAACAAAATATTAGGACACTGTTGCAAACTTTGATACAAGCATATTGGTAGGAGGCCTTGGTAAGACTGTGTACACCTATATTCCCTTGTCTCCTAATCCGTTTGATCCAAATATCGATCGAGCGCAAACTCTAAATATGCTTACAATTATAAATAATTAAATCAAATTTAGAATAGTTCACAACGAAAAAAATTTATTTGATCACTCTTCTCACATTGTTTTAAAAATATAAAAAGCGGGAGATTTCAAATTCGAGTTTTGTTTTTAACTTATAAAAGTGAGCCTCATTTTCCATCCGGATGGACAATAAATTAATCTTTTTATTTTTAATTTTTATTAATTAATTATTTGAGCAATTTATGGGCATGTCACTGAACCCCAAGCAAAGGTAGCAACTTTTCTTTGTAACCCCAAGCAAAGGTAGCAACTTTTCTTTGTAGCGTATCTTGTGAGCTTGAAAGAAGAATATCTAATGGGCCCATTCCATAGTCAAAAGTGAGCGTGGTTGACATTCTCCATTTTCAAAAGTCAGAGACCAATCTCTCACATAAAGAGAATGAGAAATGGGTGAGTGGAGACAAGGACAAATTTCCATAGAATGGGCTACATAAAATAATAAAATAAAATAAAACAAAAATAAAAATAATATGCTTTTTTTTTCTATTCCAAAAACCTTATCTCCACAGCTATATTGTTTTTATGCCTTTGCCGAAAGGAAGCAATAAGGAAAACTAATTTACCCCAAATGCATTACTCGACTAGTTTGTACTTTATTTAGAGTGCGTTTGATTTAATTGATTTATGTCGGCTGTAGCTGTTTTGTATCCAATAGTTAAATTATAAGCGTCTGATTAAGTTTTTTCTAATCAATAGTTGATAATTGATAGAAGTCTCAATCGACTATTATTTCTATAAGTTACGTGTGGAAACTTTTTCATATCAGCTTTGTATTTATATTATTTTAAAATTTATTAATCTCATAAAAAATAATTATTAATAAAATTAACAAATTAATATTTTTATTATAATTTTGTTTATAATTATTTAAAAATTTAATATATTTTTAATTATAATTTTGTTATATTTATTTAAATTTTTCTTAAATATTATTTAAAAAATTTAATTAATATTTCATAAAATAAAAATAATATATTCCCTTAAAATTAAAAAGATACTATAATATATATATATAATATATAAAAAACTGTACTAAATAGCCCATTTTTATTAAATAGCAACCGTTACGAAATTTACCAAAATACGCTTAAATATTATTTTAAAATTTAATTAATATTTTACATTAAAATAAAAATAATATATTCACCTTAAATTAAAAAGATATATATATATATATATAATATATAAAAATAACTGTACCTATAATAGCCATTTTATATTTAATAGCAACCGTTACGAAAATTTTACCAAATACGTGTAATAATTAGCTAACTGCTATTAGGCATCAGTCACCAGCTATCAGCAACTGCTATTAACTATCAGCTGATATGAACTGCTGAACCAAACAAGTTCTTAATAGTTTAAACTGTTTTTTATTGGTAAGCTTAAGCAAGCCTTTGCGAAATGAGAATAGTCGTTTTAATAAATTAATCAAATAGTTTGATTACATTAAAAATATGGATGAAGTTTGTATGTATAAGGAGGGCAGTAGCAGCGTAGTGATATATCTTATTTTGTCTGTTAATAATATATTAATAATAGTATAATAAATCAGATCAAATCGTTAATTTCTAATAAATATGTTTGGCTCATCATAATCCTGCAAATAATATTAAAAAAAAATAATGTAACGGTCAAGTTATTTGGAGACATAAAATTACGGGAAACAAGGTTATTTTTTTGGGGAGTGAGCATTTGGTTCGGTTTTTCAGTTACAAAGGTTGATTTTGTTCGTCTTTTCAATGCTATTGGTTCACTAGAGTTAATAATCCAAATCTATTTGATTTCATTTTCAATTCGAGTAATTCGAATATAAAGAGAAAAATATACTATGTTTTGAAAATTAAAGTCCTAGAAAAAACTAATAATACAACAAACTTATAATAAATAGCTCATTTTTCGTATACTACTTTTAATTATATAATTTGACCTTTCATGACTAATACTATCAACTGGCTTACGACTTCTTCTGATTCTACGTATGTGCTGTCGATATACTAATATACATGTTGAGACTCATCAAGATTGTCAACCTTCCAATGTTTTATTTGAATGATGAATCTGGTCTTATGTACAGTTATGTAGCTTTATTTTGCATATTCTAACAAATGACATGCACCTTTTCCAACCTTCTCTGTTGTTTTCTATTTATCTCATATTGCTAGTGTAAATTTTTATATTCTGAAACTTTTTTATAATCCATTATTTTCTCTAACCTACCATACTTTCTTGAAAATATTCAATTTTACTAAAACAATATTTATATAAAAAAATTATTTGAAAATATTCTTTTTTTTTTTTTTGTGTAAACCACCAGTGTCCAGACTCCATTTCTAAGAACCGTCTAGTCCGGCTCGGGATTTACTTACAGTTAAGGCTCTTCGCCTATCTCTGCAGGTGTCTTTAGTGAGGATTGAATCTAATAGATCTTTTCAAATGCGTGGCCTGTATCGCCAACTGAGCCATAATCCATAGGTAGATAATATTCAATTTTATTAGCTTGTAGTCCTGTTAAATTAAAAGTTTATTTGCAAATTTGATAAATTTCGTTAGAACTTAATTCAATTAAACCAATTTTACAGAATTAAGTAAAATATAAGTACATTTAAGCTTGATGTACGTAATTAAATTGGTAGGAAAATGATAATCATAAGTACCAAAAAAATAATATAAAATTCTAAATAAACCTTACATTTAAATCAAATTTAAAAGGTATGGATTAACCACGTGGTCTGATTAATCTTCTCACAGTCTCATAGAAAATGTGGGTAATGGGAGGATCTCGAATTCGAGTTTTCTCCATCCTAAAAAAAAAGCTTCTTTAATCATTTTATATTCTATTAGAGTGGTTTCGAATGATATATTATCGGTAATTATTATGAATCACTGCAAACTGCTAAACCAAACAGGTCAAAAGAATCGTAAAGTTGAAGAGTGGACCTCAAGCTTTTGGATTACAAAGAATGTTCGAAGTTACAATGACGTGAGTCGTGACCATGTGAAATGGTAAAGTTAGAAAACCTCCAAAGTTCAGCTAACTTGTATAGCCATCGTATTCGTCTCTTAGGTGCACCTTGGGAAGAGATTCTTCTCTTTTGCTTATATAAACTCCAGCCTTCCTCTTCACCTCTTCATCTTCAACCTCAGCCCAAGTCTTTCTAAAATAATAGTTATGGATTCTAGACAGGAGTCATCTGAGACTTTGAGGTCCTCTATTTTCCTCTCTTCTTCAGTTATAGCAAATGCATTTCTATGCACAATTTACATTGCTCTTTTTTATATTCAGTTCTTCTACCTTTTAAATAATCATAATCGTGTATATATGGATGCTAAATTTCTGTACTTATTTTGTATTATATTTATTAATTATAATTGTTTTTAAATACAGTTAAGTCAGAGGTTTAAACCCTGATAGTTCGATTTCTTTTAAAATTTTTTGATATTAACGAAAATAAAATAAAAATATTTGTTTGTTATATCCTAATTTTAAGGATAAAATCAATATATAAATTGCACATATATATATAAAAATTATATGTAATGCAGGAACAAGTGTGCAGCTTGCTTTAGACAATTCAACAAAATGGAACATTTAGTTGAGCACATGAGAAACTCCTATCACTCAGTTCATGAGCCCACCTGTAGAATCTGCAAAAAGCACTGCAGATCTTTTGAATCCTTAAGGGAACATCTCATAGGTAATTTTTTTTTTTTAATACATTTATATTTATATTCACAAGTAGAGTAGTTTTATAAATGTGATTCAATAAAAGGGTTTGCATGGTTTTGCTTCTACAGGGCCATTGCCTAAACAAGAATGCAAAAATATTTTCAGTATCAGAGGATGCAAATTCTGCTTAACCATTCTTGATAGCTACAATTCTCGCAATATGCATCAAGAAAGATGCCAGTTTTCAAATTCCAATGCTGTATTCATCTTCACTCTCGTGAATTAAATTATTTAAAACCCTTTTTGGTTTTATTTTTTGTAACTCATTAATTTATTTCTACTCAAGATTAATCTTCGTTCGGTTCTTCTAGGGATTGCTTGCTCGCATAGCTAATTTAGGTCTAAGGGACAACTTATTGACTGTTGAGAATTGTTATGCGAGAGCTCCTCAAGTTGTTGCTCTTGCTTGTAAAATGGTTGGAGGTGGAAGTGATGGCTCTTTAGATCTTTGTGGAAGGGTTTGCCTCATTGATGAAAAGGAAAATATTATCTTCCATAGTTATGTCAAGCCACCAATTCCTGTTACCAACTACAGGTATCAATATTACTCTTTCTATTATTAATTTGATTATTGTGTTTGAATTCGTAATCTCAAAGTTCTCAAAGTTCTGTTGATTCATTCTTGTAATATATACTCATTTTAGGTATGAAACGACGGGTATTAGATCTGAATACCTAAGAGATGCAATGCCATTAAGGCTGGTTCAGTCGAAGCTTCAAAACTTCCTCTGCAATGGCGAACCTATGTGGAAAATTCGACCTAGAGGAGGAGGAAAAGCAAGGATTCTTGTGGGTCATGGTTTGGACCATGACTTTGACCGCCTGCAACTAGAATATCCAGCTGTAATGGTCAGGTAATAATAAAGCTCATCTTTGATTTTGAAAGGAAAAGTAAAAAATAAATTAAAAAAAAAAGGTCAAAACTTGTCCAAAATTAAATTCAACGTTTTAATTAATTTTCATAATCCCATTAATCGATTCTAATCACTGTTTGATGGATCTTAATATTTATATATAGGGATACTGCTAAATATCCTCCATTGATGAAAACAAGCAAGCTTAGTAACTCACTCAAGTACCTAACACAAGCCTATCTTGGGTATGTATATATATATATTTTATAATACCCAGTCATTATAGTATATGCTATTTATTCATTCACTTTTTGTCATTACATTTCCAATAATGTTTTTCCATATAAAATGAGAAATATATTCTTTCTTTTTTTTTAGTTTTTAGATCTTAATTGATTTCTATTACATATATTTATACCGAAAGACTTATCTATACTGACAAATTTAATAGCAGTGATTGCGTTAAATATATAAGGTTACGGTGCATATGTAGGTATGAGATACAAAGTGGCATACAAGACCCATACGAGGATTGTGTTGCAACAATGAGGCTTTACATGAGAATGAGATCCCAAAGACATGCAGTGGAAGATTACCCACTTGCATCTGACCCACAAAATAGAAACAATTTTGCTTCTTGGAGGCAAAATGAACTTGAAAAAATGTCCCCAGAAGAAATGCTTGCAATATCAAGGTCTGATTACTACTGCTGGTGTTTGGACTCCTATTTGAATTGATTCTCAACCAATATGAATTAGCCAACTTCAGAATTATATATATTATATATGTCCAATATTTGAGATAGGAAGAATAATTAATAAATTGGAAATATATTGTTATTTCCATTTTCTGGTACTTAGTATTATTTGTGCTTTATAGAACTAAATTTACTTATGTTTTTCAATGTGAAATTAAGCTGATAGCTTAAAAATAAATTGAATTCAACTTATTTTAGTGGAGTCATATACATGCTTCTTGTGCTTAATTATGCAATTCTTAACATATTAATTATGGATATCACATTTTTGCTAGAAATTTTGGACTTTTTAAATTTTAATTTTAGGTAATTGGATATACATTGGTGTCTTTTAAGACCATAAATTTGTTCATAAACAATTCTCTTTAATTTAATGTATTGTTTTACGAGACTTAACAAATGATCCTTCAACCCATGATTAACCGTGTATTGCCCGAATTAACAACAAATAATTTCAATATATATATTTAATATCCATGCTATCAGTTCCATATTGAAATGTTCTAGTAAATTAAAAAATATTTTAATAACTTGACTTTATTATTTTCATATATACATTGATAACTTATGGTCTTTGGAAATTTGTGAGATATTGGAGCAAAATTTAGCATTATAATTATACAAAAATTCAAATAATTAGGATTTAAATAAAATAGAAGCATGAGTTAATTCTATTCTGCTAGACAAAAAACAAAATAAAATAAAATTATCAGAAGTGGCAGTTGAACCCATGCCCTCTCTCACAAAGACTAGAACATAAAATCTAACACCGTAGACCACTCAATCATCCTAATTCATGAAAAAATAACGAAGCTATTTAATATGATAATAGTCACTAAAACAATTACCACTTCTATGAGCCCTCCAAGGAAAATCAAGGAGGTTTTTCCTTGAGTTTTTTATTTCCAATTTTGCAGCAATTATCTACTGATTTGGTTAAAACTTTTCTTTCAATATTTTAATTAAAAAAAAAAATTTAACAGACAATATACAGGTGGTACTCTGCATTGTATTACAATAAATTTAAAAATAATTATTGAACAATAATTGCAAACAAAGGGTATTATATTTTCAATTAAATTAATTTAAAAATAATAATCAAGGTGATGTTTGTTACTATTGTGGTTTCTAGTTTTTAGTTTAATTTTGGTAAAGAAAGATTGAAACGTGTTTGTTATAAAAGTATTTAAATTTACTTTTCAGCTTTTTTTCAAAATTATTTAAAAAATTAAAAACATATTTTATAAAACTACAAATCGTGGTTTACGCGATTTTATTTTATTTTTGATATGCTTCACTTTTCTCTCTCCCATAAATCTATGTAATAAAATAATTCATTTCCTTTTAGACAAATTCTTGTATTTAAATAAAAAATAATATTTTATTAGAAAATATTTTTTAAATATTTTATTATTGTATTCTCCTTTCTATCTCTTATATATAAATAAAACATTTTTTATATATAAAACCTACTCATAAATATACAAGAAGTCTATGGTAATAAAAATAGTTCATTTGGCCTTTTAGACAAAGAATTCTTGTATTTTAAGGATAGAAAAAATGAATTATGTTTTATTAGAACGAATATGTTTTGAAATATATTTATTATCTGTATTGCTCCTTTGTCGTAATCGTTCTTATAGTATAAAGTAAGACATGTTTTGATATTATAAAAAACCTAACTCATAGAATATAGCATACATACAGTAATATGATATGATATAGATAGTTTAGTAGTATATATTATTTGATTTAGTTTATTTGATGAGGTAGGTTTATCGTATTATTAAGAATGCACTAGCGGAGTCGTGTTTTATATAGAAAAGAGAAATTGCAATAAAAAAGAAAGAACAGGTTTTGTAAGACAGATTAAGGAATCAGAAAAATTAAAAAGCAGTTTTAGTATGGTTTTCAAAGAATAAAAAACAAAAAAAAATTGGATGAAGACAACGGAAACCCCTGTAATAAAGTCCAGCAGAGTGTTTTTTTTTTTTTTTTGTTAAGTCAAACTAGAAAATTTCATTAATTTGGAAAGACTATAGTACCAGCCTATAGCAGATCAATATGTAATCTATATTGTTTATTGATAGAAAGGGTCTAATGAATAAGACCACGTGGTACAGCAAAGAATAAAAGAAAAGTATAGAATTTTGATTTTGAAGTATCTGGATTGAGTTGAGAAGAGGCGATAAGTGTTGAGTGTGCCAGGCGCGGCATCGCTTGCTTCCACTGGTGGCCTATTCGATTGGAATTAAAAATCAAAAATTAAAAACAGTTTTTATTTTTCAAAAATAAAAAACAAAAAAATGGTAACAAACAACCCCTAATAAATTCAGCAGAGTGTTTTTTTTTTTTTTTTAATCAAACTAAAAATTTCATTAATTGGAAACTATATACAGCTATAGCAGATCAATATGTATCTATATTTTTATATAGAAAGTCTAATAATAAACCACTTACACAAAGAATAAAAAAAATATAATTTTGATTTGAAGTATCTGATTGAGTTGAAAGAGCATAATGTTTGTGCCATTGGCGATCGCTTGCTCCACTTGGTGGCTATTCATGGCCACTGCTCGACTCTATAGTCTTTTTACAAGTCCGATCTTACTACTTTCAAATTTCTTTCTTCCATTGAAGAGGAGATCTGCAGTTCTTTCTGCATAACAATCCAAATAATAAAAGACAGCTAGACAAAATCACCATAATGGTAATAACAATAACTCAAAACTATAATCCCAATACATGAGCAATAATAAAACCCAATATTTTGGCGACAATAACTCAGATTTGTAAATAAATCTGAAAATTATTCAAAAAATAAAAAAATAAACAAAAGCAGAAAAAGAGTGACCACCGGTGAGAGCTCACCGGTCGTGAAAGCAGAAAATAGAGCTTTTATATTTTTGGTTTTGAGAGAAAAAGAGAGAGGGAGAGGGGTGAGAGAGCAGCACGACATATGAGCGGAGTGTTTTCATAGGTACTATATTTATAAAAACCCATTTAAAACATATTTGAGTATTAGTGAATGGATTTGATTAGTATTAAATTAGCTACCTATTATACGTTTAGCTCTGGTATGTTTAAAACTTCGTATGCTTGGTCTCCACTAGAACCCATTATATAATTTAAAAATATGTATAAAATAAAATATTTCGGGTGAAAGTTTAAGTGCATAGGGTTGAAGGATCATTTGTTAAGTTTCGTGAAACAATATATTATATCAGAGAGAATTGTTTAATATATAAGTATATATATTATGATTAACCGTCTGTTGCCCGAATTAACAACAAATAATTTCAATATATATGAATATACTAGTTTATTTAAATATTTTAATAACTTGACATTGTTATTTTCATATATACATTGATAACTTATGGTCTTTGGAAATCTATGAGATATTGGAGTAAAATTCAGTATTATAATTATAAAAAATTCAAATAATTAGAATTTAAATAAAATAGAAGTATCTACCTAATAAAAATTTAAAATTACATTTTCAATACGTCAGGAGTGGGATTTGAACGGAATAAAAGTCAATTTCGTCCTAGAACTTCTTTAATGGGATAAAAAAGGTCAGACTTTACCTTTTAGGACAATTGAATCTTTGAACTTGTTTAAAATAATTAAAAAGATTAGAGTTAATGTTTTAGATCAATTTAACCTTTAAACTCATTTAAAATAATTAAAAATGTCATATTTGACATTTTGAGTCAATTTATCCTTTGATTCTTTACTGCGGAAGCAAACAAATTCTCGATGGCTAAAGAAATAAAATTAAGAGGCAAATTTTTTAAAATGAACATATATCCTAGTCATTTTTAACAACAGAATTAATTAAAATTAGAAAAAAATTTGTCAATTGAAATTCTTAATAAGGAATTATATATTAAATTAAGAAATATATTTAAGATTATTTATTAATGACATTATAGTTAATAATCTATAAATTTATTTGTTACCATAAATATAAGAAAATTTAAAATTATTTTTGTTGGACAATAGATGGGAATTATGATAACGTGCTTTAAATAGGAAGAGATGTATAAATAATTTTAAGGTAATATATATATATTTTTTTTTGAGGAAAACAAAAATTTATTTTATAAACAAATCTTTTGTTTTATAGTCAAATTTTGATTTCCCTCCGTATTTTCCCCGCCATCTATTTTATTCAAGTTATAACACTAAATATTTATAAACACTAGTAACCTTTTATATCTTTTACACGTGGAATAGCTCAACTCATATAACCTACTAAATACACTAAAATAATCATCTCATTACTCATGGCATCTCAAAATTTCCACAAATCAACAATTATGTTTTTTTTTTTTTTATTACAGCTTGTTCTTGCCAAGAAAATAAATTACATTACAATTGAATTCATCAAATGTTATTTGCGAAGTGCTCATGACAAATCCTTATTAAAGAAGAGAGATATATTTATGTGATTCTTTTTATTGTCTTTTGGATAGTATTTGAGTCCTGTTTGCTCAAATCAAGATTGGAAGGGTAAAGGGTCTAAAAGCATTGCCAATTTCTTTAAGTTGCCCCACAAAATATGTAGAATAAGATTATGATAATATATATACGTGTCTGAAAGTATGATCGAACTAATTTATGTGAATTAAGATTAAATTTCTTTTCTACATAATTTTAAAAAGCATATTTCTCTGGTATTAATCTAAAGTATTTTGTATTAGAATAATTTTGCAAATTGTTTATATTTACGTTCGAGTTAATTATAAATTTAATGCCTGAACTTCCGAAAATTTTCTATTTCAGTGTTTCAATGGAAAACGTTTATAATCAAGTGTCGAAACCGATTAATGTTTTCAATCTGGTGTCACCATCCTACGTAACTTGCCGGGAATATAAATAAGACGTGTGGGACACACTAATTATTAAAAATGAAGCTGAGTAGGATGTCAAATAACATGACGTGTTTGATTTGACGTGTCAAGCAATGAAGTG